AAGTTTGTGACCTTGGAAAATAAAAGCCAATTGAATGTCTAGAGTGAAATCCATGCCCTTGACACAATTAACACACTGTGATAAGAAACTGAGCTAGATGTCTCAGAACAGAATGATACAATATCAATAGCATATGCTTTGATAACAACTCAACAGGATCCAGTTGTTATAGCACTTTGAAGATTTCCATCCCCGATAGAGTTTTTTACTGGCATTGGCTAGTAAAGCATGTGCTTTTCCGTGTGGTTCAAACCAAAAATACCTGAATTTTTGAAAAGAAAAAAAGGACTTCCCTGTCTCATGTACATAAAGATAGTGTGTTATACTTTTACATAAAATTTTAAAATTTTGCTTTCAGTCCTTGAAATATATAGAGTTGATTTTTTTATTCTTATTTTTATTGAGGTCATAATAGTTTATAACATTGTGAGATTCCAGTTGTACATTATTATTTGTCAGTCACCATATAAATGCGCCCCTTAACCTCTTGTGCCCACTCCCAACTCCCTTCCCCCGGTAACCACCAAACTGAGCTCTCTGTCCATGTGTTAGTTTATATTCCACATATGAGAGAGGTCATACAGTATCTGTATTTCTCTGGCTTATTTCACTTAATATAATACCCTCCAGGTCCATCTATGTTGTTGCAAATGGGACAATTTTGTCTTTTTTTATGGCTGAGTAGTATTCCATTGTATATATATACCACATCTTCTTTATTCAGTCATCTGTTGATGGACACTTGGGTTACTTCCAAGCCTTGGCTATAGTGAATAATGCTGCAATGAACATAGGGGTGCATAAGCCTCTTTGAATTGTTAATTTCAAGTTATTTGGATAAATACCCAGAAGTGGGATAGCTGGATCATAAGGCATTTCTATTTTTAATTTTTTGAGGCATCTCCATACTGTTTTCCATAGAGGCTGCACCAGTTTGCATTCCTACCAGCAGTGAATGAGGGGTCCCTTTTCTCCACATCCTCTCCAACATTTGTTATATTTTGTCTTGGTGATTATAGCCATTCTCACGAGTATAAGGTGATATCTTAGTGCAGCTTTGATTTGCATTTCCATGATGATTAGTGATGTTGAACATCTCTTCATATGCCTATTGGCCATCTGTATATCTTCCTTGGAAAAATGTCTGTTCATATACAGTTGATTGTTTTTAATGTATGATGTAGAGATTCATTTTAATGTTTCCTCATATTAATAATGAAGTTTGTAAAATTAATTAATTTTAAAGAGTTTATTTTTTCTCCACTAGTCTGCAATAGATGTCCTCAACTGAAAATTAGGTAATTTCATTGGTACTCCAAAAAACAGATGTGGATAAATGATGGGTAATCTTTAAGTGGAAATGTGTCAGTAAGGATTTGTTCAAGACAATAGGACAAAATTGCTTCCCTATAAAACTGTTGTGGAAGCTGGAGAAAAGAGGTCAAGGAAGTTGCCTTTGAAGATTAAAAAAACTAACACTAAAGATTGTAGTGTAAAGCATAAAACAGATAGTTTCCAAAGATTAATGGGTACTAGCTGAAAATCTCAAGAATCACTGAAAACCTCCCCGAAATGTCTCAATCTGCAGCGGTCATGCAGGCGGCTCTTTGGAGCTCAATGGGAAACTACTGTGAATCTCACATCTGCCTATACTTCTGGCTATAACTACCTCCATAGAATAATGGCTTCTCCTTTTCTGCCTTCTAAGTCTCTCACGAGTTCCTCTCATTGGACAACATTAAACATGAAAAATACAGAAAAGAAAAATGTGGAAAATATGGTTTCCAGTCTGACAACTACAATGCAGAGGAAGCCTTAGAAGCGCGTGATGATGATGCTAAGTTAACAACAGATAATCTAGTTTGGGGCATAAGGACAAGAGAGAGAGTGAGTAGGAGGCTGAAAGAGTGCCCATAAGCAAGTCATAGGAACAGAATGAGGGGTGAATGGGACTGAGCCACCCCAGATGAGCCAACTTTAGATCAGCTAACCTGCAGCTGGCCACAGAAGCATGAGTGAGACCAGCCAAGACCAGAAAAATAACCAGGCCAATCCAGATCAGCTTAAGGTAGATCAGCCAAGCCTCAACTATCCCTCAGAATCATGAGTAACATAAATGCTTATTGTTGAATGCTGCTGAGATTTTGTGGTCATTTGTTATCCAGCATTTTTGTGGCAAGAGCTAACTGATACACAGGGGTGTGAAAAAGCCTTTAGGTCACATGGGCAAGCCTAACATCAGTGGAGTGGGAAAGTATATTCTTGCCCTGGGAAGGAAGGAGTAAATCTTTTTTTAAACAATAGTCCAATATACCACACTTAATGCCTGGAATGCTGTACAAGTACTTCTCAGGAGATGTAATTTTTTCCTGCTTTTCCTTCAAATTTCTTTAGTTGAGGATTGTTTTCATCTTCAACTGAACAAAAACTCTTATGGACACCATAAATTCTCTTCTAACTCTTAAGTATTATAAATTGCAAAGATTACTTTCTATCACAAACACTACCTCAGTTCTGTAGTTACAGTTGCCTTTCCCCCATTGGATCTGGCTGTAGGCAAGCATCTGAGGTCCAAAAAGGAGTCATAATGATATATTATCTCTTTTACCCTCGTTTTTCTCAAGTCTAGCTGCAGTTGCTGAACCTACCTTCTGGGGATGGAAAGTAGATGGGAGAATAGAAAGGGGTGACAATAATAAACTTCTTTGGTTGCTACCATATTAAAAGGTTTTGACTTCTCTTGACCTGGATGATGGTTAAAACTGACTCATTCTCTTGTTGTCACTTCCAGGCCAGGGGATTTTCAGAGACTTCCAGGCTGCCTTCCCACACATCCTCTGTGATATAACTAAATATATTTATTCCTATGAATGCGTCTCCTCATAGCTCCAGGTTTTGCAGTGGTGTATTCCCTACAGATCTCTTATTCTCTCTTGGAGTTTCCTAGATTTTCTAACAGGTTTTCTTGAGAAGAATTGAAAATGGTTTCATGTCACTTCTCTCTCTCACGTAACCTGCCTGTGCTCCATTGGAAACATTTTTGCTTTTATTACCCCACCAAGAAAAGAAGTGAAAGTATTTCCCAAACATCATTCCATTCCATAATTGCAGTTCCCTTTCCCCTCCCGTTTCATCTTTCCTATTGCTCTCACTCTCATAAAAGCAAGGGACATATATCAAACTTTTTAAAAGATTTTTTTGAAGCTTCTCCCACTAAGCTTCAAGTGAGGAGGAAAGCATCCCATTCTCTGTTGGGAAGATTTGGGGGTTCACTGTGCAGTTTCTCAAAAAAATAAAATAAAATAAAATATACACCACTCTACAAAAATCTCAAATCTCTAGCTCTTATCAGTTTTAGATCTACATCTAGGTTGAGAAACTCAAGAGTTATGAAACTGGTTCTTGGGCTGTAAACATCTATTCCTATAAACATCTTTATTTTGTATCTTTTTTTTTTTTTTTTTGCTGAGGAAGATTCACCCTAAGCTAACATCTATTGCCAATCCTCTTTTTGTATGTGAGCTGCCGCCACAACATGGCCACTGACAGACAGGTGGCGTAGGTCTCCACCCAGGAACTGAACTGGGCTCCCAAAGCAGAGCATGCAGAATTTAACCACTAGGCCACCAGGGCTGGCCCTTCATTTTGTATCTTAAAACTCACTTTGGTATCTGGTGTCTATCAAAGCTCAGTATATCAATCAGTTAAAACTTCCAGTTTAACATCCTGACACATGCTGCTCTCTCTTCCTGTGGTCATCTGGACAAGATAGAGCTTTGTGTGTCTGGATAATTCTGATCTGTCAAGTCTCAGGTAAAGCAACACCTTCTCTGGGAAGTTTTTCATATCCTCTGCCACTAGGCTGAAGTAATTATTCCTCCTCAGGACACAGCATTCTGTATAAACAATTATGGTCCTTGGCTGAATCACTCTGGAGTCAGAGAGACAAGACTGAAATCTTCCTTTTACTAACTGTGATTTTAAGGCAGTCTTCTTCAGCTCTTTGAGCCTGAGTTTTCCCAACATATCTCGTAGGGTTGTTGTTAAGATTAAATTAGATGATTTTAATGCATATTAAGCTGTTCAACCAGGACCTGAGACAATGGAGGTGATGTTTATTTTGCCGCTGAATATCTGTATGTGTTTGGGGAGAAAGGAAGCATAGGCTGTATTGCTGAAGGACAAGGAAGCAGTGTGTTAATTATTAAGGAGGGGAAAATTCCATATGTTCTCCCTGACAGTTCTAAAAGGGCTTAGGGTCCCTGGATGCCTAGGTGCCTGGGTGAAGGAGAAGCCATATTGTCATCAAAATGGAAAATTCTTTAGAAATGGAAATGCAAAAAGCCAAACACATTTTAGAACAACTTTAATATTGGAGAAGGGGCAGCCTCAATGGCTTCCATTCAATGATACTGGCCAAAGTGACCTCATAGCATCCTCAAAGTATTTTACAATCCCCGTTGTGTGAGAAAAGAGCAAATTAAATCCTATAAAGCATATCCTATTTTACTCCCCCTAGCAGGTGAAAGAACAAAGTCAGCAAAGATTTCTGAGTAACAGCTCTGGAAGGAAGACAAGTGAGATTAGATATAGATAGATTAGATATAGATATAGATATAGATATAGATATAGATATAGATATAGATATAGATATAGATATATAGATATAGATATAGATATATAGATATAGATAGTTTTTTTGTGAGGAAGACCAGCCCTGAGCTAACATCTGATGTCATTCTTCCTCTTTTTGCTGAGGGAGATTGGCCCTGGGCTAACATCCGTGCCCATCTTCCTCTATTTTATATGGGATGCCACCACAGCATGACTCGACAAGCGATTCATCGGTGTGCGCCCGGGATCCGAACCTGTGAACCCTCTGGTTGCTGAAGCAGAGTGCATGCACTTAACCACTACGCCACCAGGCTGACCCCTAGTGAGCTATATTTTTAATAATTTATATTTACATTTTATTGTAGAAATAAGATCATATAGGTGTTTTAAAAGAAAGGTAAGTATCTGTTGGAAGCATATATTTTCTTACTCAAGAGTTTTCTCACGGTCCCATTCATGTCTTTATTTCTCAGGCTATAAATGAAGGGCTTCAACATGGGAATGACCATTGTGTACATCAATAATGCAATTATGTTTTTGTCATTGGTGTTACTGGATGAGGGAAGAAAATATAGATCAATAACTGCCCCATAGTAGAGAGTCACTACTGAGAGATGAGATCCACAAGTGGAAAAGGCTTTGCAGATGCCCTTGGTAGAGGGAACATGGAGGATGGTGGCCCCAATATGGCCATAAGAAACCAGGATGCAGAAGAATGGAAGCACAATGGTTGCTAATCCCACAGTAAAGATTACCAATTGGTTGAGGGAAGTGCCTGAGTAGGACAATTTGAACAGGGCAGCAAGGTCACAGAAGAAGTGGGGGACAGTGTGGTCAGCACAGAAGGACAACCGGGCCAGGAGGAAGGTGTGCAAAAGAGCACAAGCACAAGTAATGAGCCAAGACCTGGACACCATTATGACATAAATGCTCTGACTCATGATGGTGGTATAATGGAGAGGGTGACAGATGGCCACGTACCTGTCATAGGCCATTGAAGTGATCAGGAAACTGTCCAAAGCAGCAAAGAAGATGAAAAAATATGTCTGTGAAATGCTCCCTGCATAGGGGATGGGTTTGTACTTAGTCTGCATGTTCATCAGCATCTTAGTGATGGTTACACATGAGAAAGTAGTATCAGTGAAGGCCAAGTGACTGAGGAAGAAGTACATGGGGGTGTGGAGGAGAGAGTCCAGCCTGATGAGCAGGATGATGAGCAAGTTCCCCAGAACCGTGGTCAGGTACATGCCCAGGAACAGGGCAAAGAACACATTCTGCTGCTCAGGCCCAATGGGGACCCCCTGGAGGAGGAACCGGGGCACGCTGCTCTGGTTCTCCCTCCTCTTGTTGGTATATCAGCTGCAGGGACTGGTGGAGAAAGTTGAAGGAAAAGGAATGTCTCAGGATAAAAATGACAATTGTGGCATAGCATAATAGAGATGTTCTTTTGATCTAGAGAATGTCTTCATCCATATTTTCTTATATTTGATGTATATTTCACTGGATAAAAGTAGAAAAAGTATAGGTTTACAATATACAGCCACTTTCTTTCTCAATCTGGTCCCAGTCTCTGTAAATGATAATACTAAGAGTTAAAGTTTATTAAACATTGTCTTGATGCAGTGTTCTAATAGCTTACATGTCGTAACTGATTCAGCAGTCTTAAGCAGGTGAGCTAGGTAGGTAGTGTTATTATTCCCATTTTCAGAGGGAATAGCTGAGTCAGACAGTCTCACAGTCACTGAGGTAAGAAGAGGAGAAGCTGAGATTTGGGACCCAAGCATTTTGACTCAGAATTTCATCTCTGAAAGGCAAACAAAGTATTTGACATCAGAAATCTCATTACCCTTCATAATTTTGTGTGTAATAAACTGTTTAAATCTGTATCCTGTGCTTCTCTATACAATCCAGGATTATTTCTGAAGTTTTCATTGACTATAGACCCAGAATCTCTTGCAGACAATTAATGCATACACAATATAAATTTGTTGATCAAATAAAAGATGTCACATCCAAATAAATTCATCGTAGCCTCCTCTTTAAGAAACTTACATCAGGCCTTGTTAAAGAACCACATTTAACCCTAATAATCCTGGGATCCCATGTTATTTGGTTGCCACATGGCATCACACTCAAAGAAGTACAATCTAAAAGCCAAACATAATTTTAAAAGGAATTCTAATCCTTCGTTGTCTCTAAAATAGCCTATAAGAGATTTATTTCCTAACCCAAATCAATATTTATCAAAATATCTATATATTTTTTAAAAGAAAAGGTAAGTGTTCACTACAACAGATCAAAGCTATTATAAAGCTGTATTGACTACAACAAATAATGTAATTTTACAAAGATAAACCAATAAAACAGTGGAGGAAAATAAAGAGCCTAGAAACAGACATGATTATAACGAGGACTTGGCCTCACTATCACTTTTTCAGCCAGATTCAGAAGGCAACCTGAAACCAGTCCTGGTTCCTCCACCCCCGACTGAGTGAAAGGAAGAGTGCAATTATAAACCAACTTAATCCTGTAGGTGAAAATTCACGTTAAAAGATAACTTTCGGTGACTACAGCAAAGTAGCCAACTGACTCTGTATAATGCCTGGAAGCAGATATCAAATCATAATATTTGTGAATGCTTTACCATTAAGTCTCCAAGAAACAGATGACAGATAGTTTGCTACTTAGTCCCAGAGGCAGAAGGCATTCTGCACAGACTCCTGGAGAATCCTAGCAGACCCAAATCTGACCCCACGATCTTCATGGATTGTGGAAAATGAGTCATGGAATATTCTCTCTAATTTTCTTGAGATTCTTAAGATTATCTGGGTCAGTTTTTCTTGAAGGGACATGCAGAACAATATTGAGCCTTACATAGCCCTACCCAAAACACCACCCCCAATAGCCTGCTGGTATCTGAAATTCTTTTAGCAATAGTAAAAGGGCTTGAAGGTCCCAACTATAGATTCAATTTAAAAGTAAATATTCTGGGGGGGGCCGGCCCGTGGCTTAGCGGTTAAGTGCGCTACTGGCAGCCCAGGTGCAGATCCCGGGAGCGCACCAACGCACCACTTCTCTGGCCATGCTGAGGTGGTGTCCCACATACAGCAACTAGAAGGATGTGCAACTATGACATACAACTGTCTACTGGGGCTTTGGGGGAAAAAAAGGAGAAGGATTGGCAATAGATGTTAACTCAGAGCCGGTCTTCCTCAGCAAAAAGTGGAGGATTAGCACGGATGTTAGCTCAGGGCTGATCTTCCTCACAAAACAAAAATTTAAAAATAATAAAATAAATAAAATAAATATTAAAAAAAAGTAAATATTCTGGGGAGAGAGAGCCTTTGGCCAGCACTCTCACTGAGATGGAATGGCTGGGAGCTGTTGATGTTTGGGGAACAGGTTTGGATGGCAGAACAAGGGCACTACCTCAGACCAAGTGAGGAGGGGAGACGGTTGGGGATTACAGGCGGGATGAAAGCAGGGGCTATGGACACTGAAATGAAATTTACTGTCTTTCCAATTTGGCTGATATGACTGATATAAGGCTAGACATTGTCGCATTGTTAACAGAATCTGAATTAGCACCTAATTTATACCAGGTGCTTTTCAAATACTGTTCACTTCTTCAAGCCATAACCTTTCAGCACAGGCACTCTGATCCTCATTTTAGAGAAGAGAACGTTGGGGCTCAGTGATGAAACTTGCCCAATGTTATAGATCTAGGGTATGGTAAACCTGAGAGTTGATCCCAGTCTATCCAGCTTCAAAGAGTATACTCTTCCCACTATGTTACATGCCTTCATTAATTATATCCTCAAGTAAGACAGTACTTGCTGCCAGAGAGCACTCAAGAATGTCAGGAAGTAAAGCAGGCAGTTTGAGGATGAATGAAAATCTACGGTTTCAAGACATGTACCTAGATGGTAATATCAATAATAATGATAACAATAAAATTATAATAACAATCATTCATTAATCACGTATTTATTGTGTGATTAATATAGACTAGCTGCTATGACATGTACTTTGTATCATGCCAGCCTAAGAGGACCACAAAAAAGACAGTATACTCATTTAACCAGTTGGAAACTAAGGCTTAAAGAGTATAAGTAATTTGCCTAAAATCATTCAGCATGAAAATGATGGACAGATCATTCAAGCCCCGATTTATCTGATTTCAAACCCATATTCCTAACAACCATGCTGTGTTGCCTACAGCAGAACATGACTTGATAAAAAAGAGACATTTGGATATGTGCTACTCATTAAAGAGAAAAAGACGGGACCTGCAATTTCCAAAGCCTTCGGCTGGATGCACTGGCTCAGTTCTTCATCAGATGATCAGAAGTGAATAGAGGGCCTAGAACACCAGCTGCTGGATTTACAAAGACAGCTGATCATGAGCTGAATTTTCAGGGCTCCAAGACAAAAACAGATCAGATCCTCACCAATGTTTTTAATTGACTACCTAGTTTCTATCAATAAGGGAAAGATTAAGGCAACTGTGGTACACACCTATTGGAAATAATGTCATGTAGCCACTAAAATGGGTTCATGAAAGCTCGTGATATAATATTTTAAAGAACATAATAGAAAATTGTATATAGGTATGTTTACAATTGTTTGCAAAAAATGCAGATTAGTATTATTATTTCTAACTCTGGAAGGTTATACTCATAGCTTTGGTGCAGGACAGATATTCAGCACAACTGTGAAAGATATAACATTTTCCAGAAGAGGAAAGTACAAATCCGAAGGAATTGTAATTATTGTGTCCACTGATGTTGTTTGAGATGGCACAACAAAATTATATACAGTGCATGGCACAGATCTGCAAGATTTTGTAGCAGATTATTCACTCACACACACACCCACACACACACACACACACACACGTATTGGTGAGTGAAGTAAATACTGTCCTTACCTAGCTCGGGAGTAATAAATTCAAGTACTGTCAGCTCTGGGGCATGAACTAATTTTCTAATTTCTCATTTTCTCTCCCAAAGCCTTAGAGCTGGGGCAAGGAGAAAAGTCACAAGTTCAACCCTGAGGTGGGGAGGAGGTACGCTCTCTTTTTCAGACCAAGACAGTGACAAAGGTGTCCATTTTTATCAGCCAGACTGGGAACCCAGGGGACCCAGGCCACAAATTTCTGGTGAGGGACATTGGGGAGTAATTATTGCATTTCCCTTAACCATTCTCAGGGAAGACGTGCCTTTGCTAGATACTAAACATAGTCAATTCCTTTGGGAATATACATGAGGACTTTTATTATTTGCAGATTCATTTATTTATAAAGAATTTTCACATCCATGAGTCCATTTAAGCCTCACAATAATTCTTGAGATAGATAGTATTTTTCTCATTTTATTGTTTTTGTGTGTGGCTCAAAAGAAAATGGCCAAATGAGGATTCAAACCCAAACACATTAACTTCAACCTAAAGCCTAATTCCACTGAACCATGATGCCTCTCTTATAGCAGTGGGCTCTGTATCATATGGACTTCTTTCTTCCCACATTCAATCCAATCCGGAACTGGAAGGAGAGTTGCTACTATTCCTAGGGAATAAAAACACTTATCAATGAACTATTGGACATCTGTTTCTCAGACATAGAGATTTTTTTTTCTTCGTACAGAAACATCTGAATGCGTGTAGGGATATGCATGTTTTTTTGTCAGTATGACACATAATAGTTGGCACATAATCAGGGCTCAAAATATATCATTTATCCATAAGAATGAGTGTGAGAAGCCTTTGGAAACCTTTTCCATTCAGACTGGAAAATATATAGAAGAGACAGAGAATCAAGTGGAGGAGACAGCATTTTATACATTATTTTTTCCAATAATGTATTAATTCTTTTACTCATTCGTAAAAATACTGTGTACCTACCGTGTGGGAAGGATTTTATGCGTACTGTGAGTAAATGTTTCGAAACACAGGTTTTTATCTCCCAAAGAGCTCCCAATTTGGTGAGCGGGATGCACAAGACAGTGTGTGTCAAATGCTGTAATGAAGGTGAGTGCTGAGTGCTATGGGAACACAGAAGAGGGGTGTCAAACCCAAATTTAAGGGATCAAGCAAGGTGGGCTTGTAGGAACTAACATGTAAGCAGAGATCCAAGACAATCAAAACAAGTAAAATGTGACGTGTACAGCACAGAGGCAGATAATTGGAAGGGAGAAAAAGAGAGGAATAGGAAAAGACCTGGAGCAGAGACAGGATGACAAATTTGGAAAGCTGTTGTCAGGAAAGTTAGAACAGCTGAAATGTACACTTGGACAGGGACGAGGTTCCCGACAACGCTAGAGAAATTAGCAGGAATGAAACATGT